TCTGTGTTTATCACTTGTTGTGAGGTGCCTCGAGGCTGCTCCTCAGAGTCCCTGTGCACCCCCAAACGAAGCCCCGCTGGGTGCTGCGCCAGCCCCACACTTGTTATATATGCGCCAGTGTTGCAGCCACTGTGCCTATCCATCTCATCCAGGGTCTTCCTCTCTGTCACGGCCTTCTCCTTTGTTAAGCATGACGTCCTTTTCCAAGGATTGGTCTCTCCGGGGAACATGCCCAAGTACGTGAGGGAAAGGGCCATCGTCCCACCTCAAGGGAGCACTCTGGGCTCTTTCGTCACTTCCTCGGTACTTTCAGTATTCTTCATTCCAGTGTGTCTATTCTTATCACTTCTCACCAGACTCACCGCCATCGAGTCAAGGCTGACTCACAGCGACCCGCTGTCTGAGACTGTCAATGTTTACTGGAGTAGAAAGTCCAGTCGTCTCTCTCCTGCGCAGCTGCTGGTGGTTTCGAACTGCCAACCATGCGGATTGCAGCCCAGTGGTAACCACGGCGCCACCAGGGCTCCTTGCACTTGCAGGAGGAGCACACGCTGAGCAGGCTGGTTGTGGCAGACCTTTGTTTTGTTTCGGAATTGTGTGAAAACTTGACTTTTTCCTCTACGCCTTTGGCAATATTACTAAAGATGCATCGGACTCAGGCCGTTTTATTAAGGCGGTCGCTCTAGGAATGGAACAAGACGTAGTGGTTACTCATTGGTTGCTAACCATAAGGTTGGCAGTTTGAAACCACCAGTCGCTCCTCGGGAGCAGGATGAGGCTTTCTACCCGTGAGGAGCTACACTCCCGGCCACTCAGGGGCAGTTGGGCGGCTCCGAGTGGGATCAAGCTGATGGCAGTGATCTGGAGAGTCTGTTCAAGAGGCACCGAAGCCCTCCGGGAGCCTATGGTGATTGGTGAGGTGTCTGTGCTGCCCGGCTGTGCGCCAGGTTATGGAACAAGGATCTGAAGTGTAAGGCTGTACCAGAGGGAGGGCCTGCCCTCGCCGTCTTTGGCGTTCCAGCCAGTTCCATGAGGGAGGGAGCTCAGCGTCTGCACAAACAAGGCACAAACATCACCAAGGAAACACGGCTGCCAGCAAAACTCACATTCCTCCCTCCTGCCCCACCCAGGGACCATTGCCTCAACTGTCTCTCTGTCCTCTCTGCCATCGAGTCAGTTCCGACTCATCACAGCTGCAGAGGACAGGTAGAACCGCATCTGGGGGCTTCTGAGACTTAAAATGTTAAGCTAGCACCCAGGGATTTTGAAATGCTACCCTTGGGTGGACTTTGGTCATTTTTATCACTCCTCATCGCGACCGTAGCTTACCTGTAGTGACATGGGTGAAAGCATCGCCATCGTGGTTGTGAAGTGCTGTAGAGTCGGTTCCGACTCATTAGGACCTACTGTGTGCAACTGGATGACCCACTGCCTGCTCCGGGGGCGTCTTCACATTCGATTGCATGTAGTAGGGTCATTTTGAGTCAGGCCAACTCTATAGCACTGCAGGACAATGACGGTGTGTGAGCTCCTCATTGCAGCCACCGTGTCCGCCCCTCTCCCTGAGAGCCCTCCTCTTCGTCACTCACCCTCTGCTTTCCCAGTCTGACGCCTCTCTCCAGAGACTGCCCACCCCACCCTGACAGCGTGTCCAACATGCATGAAACCAGGTCTCTCCACCCTCGCTTCCAAGGAGCTTTCGGGGTGTACTTCGTCCAAGACAGATTTGCCTGTTTGTCTGGCAGGTCATGTACATTCTATGGTCTTCGTCCACACCGTCCATTAAATGCATCATTTCCTCTCTGGTCTTCCTTATGAACATCAGAAATACATTCCAGGTGCTCTCCGTGTGTCAACTCATTTACTATCACAGCAGCTTCACAAGGCAGACGGTTCATGTCCCTGTTTTGCAGATGAGGAAACTGAGGCACGGGGAGATTAAGTCCTCGCCATCTGCTGCGAGTAGAGCTGGGATTGAGACCTAGGTCCCTTGCCCTGTTCCCTTGGCCAACCGCGTGCTCTTCACAGTGTTCAGGAGCAAAATTGTCACTTTTTTGCCTAACGTCCTCCTGCCCCAGACACGGTATATTCTACCTATTGCTCACCTGTGTGTGGACACTGGACAATGCACAAGGAAGATCAAAAAGATCCAAGTGGGAGTAGGGTTGACAGTAGCTGTTGGGGGTTTTGTTTCGAGAGGGATTGCAGTCAAAGGAATTGAATGGGCAGAGTTTGGGGGATCCCCTCCGAGGAGGTGTCCCGTGTGGAATGTCTCCATCCTCTTCCGTCTCAGGGTTCACAGCTCCCGAGCTTGCTCTTTGATTTTGGAAAGCGGTCTGATGATGGGTTTTCCCACGGGGGTGCCCTCACTTCCACTGTGTGTGCCGGACCTGGACGGGCAGTTTGCTCAGGAGAAAAGCCATGAAAGGAGCTGAGTGGATGGTCTCATCTCTCCTCCTCCAAGCCAGTGTGGACAGCCCTGCATGTCCTTGCCCCTGATCCAGGGCCTGCCGGTAGTTGACTTTTGTATCGTTTCTAGGTTGGAGCATTGTTTTCTATGGGGTCAGGGGTATGTGCTGCATTGGAGGGTCTGGTGTGCTATACCCAGAAGCAAAAGTGACTCCACATGTCAGATGAGGCAGACTGTATTACGTGTGGCGCAGGCGATGGGAGAACTGGAGAGCGTGGGCATGGTAGCAAGCTACAGCTTTGCATGAGGTTGTGGCAGTGGTTCTTTGAAGGACCCCCATTTGAGTCGAGGTTCAGAGAACAGGGAGGATTTGGCCACCATTGGCCGGGTGGGATGGAGTTCAAGCAAAGGTGACAGTCAAAGGGAAGGAGGAGAGGAGGGAAGGGTGACACAAGGTGAGGGGGACCCTGGGAAAAACTCCAAAGCCACGCATTGCCACCCAGTTAATGCAGGACTCATAGCGACCCCGCAGGACAGGGCAGAGCTGCCCCTGTGGGTCTCCAAGGCTGCACATCTTTACAAGAGCTGACAGGCTCATCTTCATCCTTCCCCCGCAGAGCGTTTGGGTGAGTTTGAACTGCTGATCTTATAGTTTGAGGCCCCAACTTATAACCCACTAGGCCACCGAGGTCCATGACCTTGGGAATTGATGCTTCTGTACAAAAATTCATGATCACCATGACTAGAGAGGTATAACCCCCACCCCTGATTTGACCACCCATATTTCTTAAAATAGCTCAGCATTAAAGCCCTGAGTGGCGGGGAGGGCAGCCTTGTGATCCTGTGAGGTTCCTGTCAACACTATCGAGAGGAGGCCTGGTCAGCAAGGCGTGGTGTCCGTGGGTCTGAATCACTCTCCTCCTTCTTCGTCATTTGCTTGTTTACAGGTTGTCTAGGCAGTGTTTGTTTGGATTGTCGCCATTGTATCGTGAGTTGGGAGGAATTCAACAGAGCAAGCTGGTGTCCACGCAGCAGTCCACACACACACTGTTTTGTAACCTTGATGGCAGTCCCTCCATCACCTAACAGCGCCCTTCCCGCCCCCTCCCTGTGTTTCCTCCTTCTTTCCCCTCCCGCCTGCCATCTGAGGTTTCTCTCTGGGCCGATGCTGCCCTTTGGGTCTCCTGTGCTTGAGGGTTTGAATGAGCTCGTGCCTTCTGGCTGTTGCTTCGCACATCAAGTTGAACTGAACGTTGAACCAGGAGGATGAGCTCAGTCCCAGGTTTGAGGGGGAAGCAGGCCTGTTGTCCTGGGGGCCCCCACCAGTCCCCATCAGAGCAGAAAGCTTGGTCTTTTTTCATTATTTTGAGAGTTTCCCCCACATTTTTCCTCCCATTCTACCCAGGGCATCTTAGAGTGGTTAACAGTGGTAGCTGGGCGCCATCTATTTCTTCTGGTCTCAGAGTTGTGGAGGCTGGACTTGCCTGGCCCAGTAGTTCTTTGGACGAATCACTTCTGTATTAGTCTAGGTACTTTGGAGAAACAAATCCACAGCGACTCATGTATAAGAGAAAGTTTTATGTAAAGAAAAGGTGCATCACAGCATCACGAAAACATCCCAACCCAATGCTGCCCAAGCCCACAAGTCCAACATTAACCCATTAACCCAACACCAGTCCACAAAGTCCTCCACCTCACAAAACAGAGGCAATGATGCCGACTGCAGGAGGAAAGCTGAGTCAGTGAACGAACAAGCATCTCAGCACTAGCAGGGGTCTCCACACGGCTGCTCCAGCACCCAGGGCTGCATCGGGATAGGTCCATGTGGCTTCTCCTTCGGGATGTCTTGTAGGAAGTCAATCTTGCAAGCTGAAGCAGGGAACTGCTAAGGCAGCTGCACCCGGTGCAACCATCACAAAACAAGAGACCCGAGAACTAGAAAGGCGAGGCTTCACCACCCATTTATCCCTCCGCCTTTCAACCAGCACCACATGTGATTATCGGCCAGGCTGGCACAATTAACTGACTCCGCTTCCCTGTGTCTTTGGTTTGCTTTACTCTCCTTCGCTGAGACCAACAGTGGGACCCGAGAGAGCCGCGAATGAGCTTTTACGTCCCAGCTGCTAATCAGTAAATAACACATAGGACATTGTGTTTGTGGACTACGTTATACCAGTTGGCCTTGCTGTCCCTGAGACTGGTCCCGAGTCCCCAGGCCTGGTGATGCCGTGTGTGTAGTTACAGCCAAGGCCTTCTAACTTTGCTCCCATTGGCTCCACCACATTCATGGATCTAGTCTATTGGCCTCTCATGTAAGTATCCGTGGAGCTGTATCCCCTGTGCATCTGAGGATCCCTTCCACCTCCAACGGCTTCTGCGACGTGGGCAGGGAAATGGAGGGGCCACATATGGGGGTGGGGAAACGCAGCGGGAACGAAAACAGGCGGGCGGCAGGCGGGGACCGAACAGTACCAACAGGAGCGAGCGAGTGAGCGAGGAGGAGTCGTTCCTTCCTGCCGAGCAACATCACGGGGTCTCGGGGGACGGGGGGCCATGGACCCTGCACCTGACCCTCTCCCTCTCCGTCTAGATGACAGCGCCTCCGCCGCCAGCAGCATGGAGGTGACGGACCGCATCGCGTCCCTGGAGCAGCGGGTCCAGGTGCAGGAAGATGACATCCAGCTGCTGAAGTCCGCACTGGCCGACGTGGTGCGGAGGCTGAACCTCGCCGAGGAGCAGCAGGCCTCGCTGAACCGGAAAGGCCCAACCAAAGGTGGGCGCCCCCGGCACGTGGGGCCGGAGCAGACCCGGCCCCTTGGAGCGCCTGGCTTGGGGAAGAGGCCCGAGCTCCTGCACACCGACCGGCTCATGGCTCAGAATAGCAGCGGGACAAACCCGAGTCCAGACACCAGAATGACTGCCCTGCAGTCAGTCCAGACTCAGAGAGACCCGACAGGACGGGGTGGAACATGCCCCTGTGGGTTTCCGAGACGGTCACTCTATACGGGAGTGGAAAGCCTCCTCTTTCTCCCACGGAGAGGCTGGTGGTTTCCAACCGCTGACCTTGCAGCTAGCAGCCCCACGTGGAACCACCATGCCCCCCCCACCCCCTCACCCCCCACCCCCCGCTCACCAGGGCCCCTTGGGACAAGCTCACCTCGGTCAGAATCACCACACAGGTCACAGCCATTTACCCCACCCCAAAACGTGCCAATAATCACGCCTGGCCTCGGCCGGCCAGCAGTCCTGCCCATGGAGGCCTGGACTGGGCTGAGTTCCTTCCCCACCCCTCCCACCCCCAACACACACACAAGGACCATACCCATGTGCAGTAGGGAGGGGCATCTTCTATTTTTCACTGCCCCTCCCCACCCATGGTCCAGAGGGAGAAGAGCTTTTTGAGAGAGAGAGCCCAGGCCTCACAGGCAGGTGGGATGCCCCTGGACTTGCTGATGAAATGTGTTGATGAGGTTTAGATAGGCCGTGATCAGTATGTATGCGTTGGGTCACCCACCTTGGGCAGTAAGGACAGTGGTGGACAGTGTTTGTCCACCAGACCAGGAGGCCGCTTTCAGTGAGCACCATGGGCCTTCTTTGGGGGATGTTCCTCACAGGGAGTGTGTGGACAGGCCTCCTGGCACACACTCTGTTAGGCTTCTCCTGTCCACTCTACTGATCATAGGCCACACTCGAGGGGACCCAGAGGTGGAGGCCATGCCCTGAGGAGCTCAGGGTCCCACCCTTATTCACTGACCTTTCCTCCCAAGCTGCTCCGCTCCTCCCGGGAAACGCCGTCTGTCTCTTAGATTTCCTGCCCCACTGACCGTGCGGAGAGAGCCCCACCTGGAGTTCTGTATCTGGTGGTGGGTTTTTGAAAAATGTACGTCATCAGGGTCTCCATGACTCTGAAGAAGGAGCCTAAAAAGGCAATTTCTGTGTATTTAATACTTTTTTTTTTTAAGTCTTTGGTGGCGTAGAGTAAAGACTGTGAAGATTTACAGTCTCAGAAACCACAGGGAGAGTTTGCCTCTGTCTCATAGAGCAACAGTGAATTAGAATCACCCCGATAGCAGTGAGTTGGTGGTTTTTAAATAGAGTCAAAGGAGGCCTGGTGGGGCCTCAGGTAAGAGTTGGGCTGCTAACCACAAGTCAGCAGTTCAAACCCACCAACTGCTCCCAGGGAGAAAGATGAGGCTGTCTGGTGCCTTAAAGACTTGCAGCGGACTTGACTCCGTACAGGGTCGCAATGAGTTCGAACAGACTCAGTGGCAGTGAGTTTGGGTTTGGGGACATAAGTGATTTAGACAGCTAACACGGCAGGCTCCTGACTCAAACCCCGGAAGTTTGAGTCCACTATGAGCACCTTGAAGGAAGGGCCTGGTGACCTACTTTTGAAAGATCACCATTGATCGCCACCGTGGCCCCCGCAGGGTCACTGTGAGACACAGATGGCTCCACCTTAGGGAGCTCAAACTCAAACCTCAATCACTGCCATCGAGTCGATTCTGGGACCCTATAGGACAGGGTGGAACTGCCCCTGTCGGTTTCCGACATTGTAAATCTTTACGGGAGTAGAAAGCCCCATCTATCTCCCTTGGAGTGGCTCGTGGTTTTGAACTGCTGACCTTGCGGTTAGCAGCCCAGTGAGTAACCACTGCACCACCAGGGCTCCTGCAGCAGGCTTAAGTACCCTTTCAGTGGTTCACCTCTTAAAGTTTTGGAACTAAGACGCCTCAAAAAAAACGTTATAGCCTTCTAGTTAGGAGTCCTGGGAGGTGGGGTCGTGGTTACGCACTGGGCTGCAGTCCTAAAGGTCGGTAATTCAAAACCACTACACAGCTCTGAAGGAGAAAGATGGGACTTTTTACTCCTTAAAGAGGCTTTGCAGCCTTGGAAGCCCAAGGAGGAGGCAGTTTTACCCTGTCCTGTAGGGTCACTTTGAGTCATCATCGACTCCATGGCAGTGGAGTTTAAAAGTTAGTACCCTCAAGGAGCCCTGTTGGCATGATGGTTACACATTAGGCTGCTAACTGCAAGGTCAGCAGTTCAAACCACCAGCCACCCCACAGGAGAAAGATGAGGCTTTCTACTCCTTTAAAAAGTTACTGTCTCAGAAACCCACAGGACCATGTCTACCCTGCCCTAGAGGGTCACTATGAGTCGGCATCCACTCAACGGCAGTGAGTTTGTTGATTTGAGAGTTAGTACCCTCTTTTCTGCTCCCCACGTACAGTCCGCTCTTAGGCCCTGACTGGATCATGTTTCCTGGCATCTCTAGAGAACACCGTCCGTTCCTCTTGGCTGTGACAGTCCCTTGGTTCCTTAAAGGGCATGCACACGCCCCTTTGAAATTAGCCCTTGTGGGTGTGGGCACCTTGAACGAGTCCTCCCACAACTCACACCTTGTCCGTAGTGGTGCCGGGAGAGGGCACAGCCTGTGGTTTCCTGTAGTGCTTGGTTTCCCTCTAGTGCCTCCGTCTGGGGGGTCCTGAGGGCACATTGAGCTCAGCATTGCACTGCTAACTGAAAGGACAGCAGATCAAACCCACCAGCCGCTCTGAGGGAGAAAGAGGAGGCTGCCTGTTCCCGGAAAGCTTCACAGCCCCAGAAACCCTGGGGAGCCGCAGAGCACTTTTACCTTGTCCAGCAGGGATGCTGGGTGTCAAGGTGGACTTGAGGCCCCCAGGTGTTTTGTTGGCTGGTTTTATGAAAAGCAATGGGACCTTGGCTTGTCAGGTTCTGGATCCCCAGCTGCAGGTGAGCAGAGGCCTGGGCAGAGAGATGGGTGCAGTCCAAACATTGCCCTGAGGGAGTTTGCATCTCCTCGGACTCACCCAGCAGCTAGGTGACTAACGAGGCTATCGGTGGCTATCCTCAACAGACTCAGCTTTCCAGGAACAAGTCTGAGGAGGACCCCGTGCATCCCCGAGGGTGAACTCCAAGCGGTTGCTTTTGTGTGCAACCTCCACATGGTATCCAGCGCCTGTACTTCTAGAAAATTCGGAGAAAGGGGGTTGGCCTGAGAATGGTACTTTCATGATGTGCAGTGGTTTGGCTTCTCGGGAGAGAAATCGATTTCCGTAGCGATCTGGGGTTTCTCTCGACAGACACCTCATTGTGGTTCGAAAGCTTACTTCAGGCGTGAGTCTCCCGTGGAGCAGTTCGCGCACGTTCCTTCCGCGTGGCGGTGCTGCTCAAAGTCCCGTTGGTGGGACAACACTCTTCCCACGTCCTTCGTGGGAGCTCTGTTTCCACTCACTCGTCTTTCCTGCCTCTGCCCTCTGGCTCTGGGACACATTTGCCCTTTTGGGGGGCTCATACGGTCGCTTGCTCTGAGGAGCAGATTCTTCTCCCTCTCTGGTGTTACTGTCCACTTTGCCGGCCTGTTGGGCTGAAAGGGGGTCTCTGGGGGTGATTGATTGAGTCCCCACTTTGAAGGGTGAGACCCTAGATCTGGAGACTTCCCCCAGCCCCCTTCAGATCAGTCATTCTTTTGTTCCACATTTCTCTTGCCCTTTCCAGGGCCTTCCCGTGTGATCCCTTTCAGAAGGGGTGGTGGTGGGAGCTTGGCCAGCTAGGCCTTCAGCTCTCAGGCTGTGGTTCTCCTACTCCATCAGTCCTTTGGACAGATCATTTCCTTGAATCCGTTTTTCTTTGCTCCAGACACTGAAGGACTAGTCATTGCCCCTTAGATGGCCCATTTCCACGTTTTTTAATACCCTGGTCACTACTCACCAAAGTAGGATGTGGAACATCGTCTGCCAGGTGACCTCGATGTGGCGGTCCCCGATGAAGCCCGGTAGAAGGGACTTTCCTTTCGCTTGTCTCCACGCCTGAACATTTTCGTAACATCCAGTGTAAAAGCAGTCGTCCGTCGCTTCCGAAATAAAATATCCCCACTAAACCGCTTCCACAGAACGTTTGTCTAGACTGGGGAGAACATTGAATGAGTCGGAGAGTGAAACAAAACCGCGAAACGAGCCTGTACTACCTGAAAGAAAGAGGGAGTTCTCGTCTCTAACTCACAAATCGGTAAGAAGAACCCCAAAGCAAGAGCACAGTCGATAAAGAGAGATTTACTGACATTTGCTCCCTGATATTAGTTAAGGTTACCCTGGTAGCAGAGTGGGTGGTGCATTGGGCCGCTAGCCACGAGGTCAGCAGTTCAAAGCCACCAGGCTCCCCACGGGAGAAAGATGAGGCTGTCTGGCCCTGTAGAGCTTCACAGGCTCAGAAACCACAGGAGCAGTGGGGCTGTGTCCTGGATTGTCATAATGCGTCAGAATGGACCCGATAGCCATGAGCCCAGTGTACTTTGGAATGTTGAATAAGCAGGATAGAGACCCTTCATCCACTTTATTCGCAGTCAGGAGCTTAAGGTGTTTGATTCGTTAGTGGCCCCATGGAACAAACTTGACCAGGGCCCTATCATAGCCCTTCCCCCCGGGTGTGCTGAACAGGACCTGTTGTCACATTAAACCTCCTGGAAGGACCCTGTCCTCGGGTCCAAGGACCCGGCTGGATTTGAATAATGCTAGCCTGAATTGTGTGGCTAAGGGGCAGGGGCCTAGAAGCCATATGGAAAGCAAAGGAAAGATCACAGGATCAAGGTCATCCCAGCCTAGGAGCTCCATCCCAGTTTTGTCCCTCACTAGCTGGGACTCCCAGGGCAAATTATTCAATTTCAGGCAGTACCTGATAACAGAGACTGTTTTCTCATCTGCATCATGGGCACGTTGAGACCAACCTCGTGGAATTGTGGAGAGATTGGAT